GACACTGCGAAGGCAGAAAGAAAAACTGTGCTGTGTTTAGGATGGAAAATCAAAGTGAACTCGCCGGGAACAATGTTGCTTCCCTATGGAGAATGAAACACACACCTTACTTGCTTGATATTCAAAGCCACCAGGACCCGACCTTGCAGTGTCCAGGACCCACTGGGCCTGGAGAGAGCACGCTCTGGACGAACCTGTGTCCTTGCCCCATATAGAGCCCTTGAAGCCCCAACCCGCAATGGGATGGTCTTGGGAGGTGGGGCCTCGGGGGGGGGGGGGTGAGTGGGTTTAGATGCCGGCATGAGGGTGGAGCCCTCAGAATGGGATGAGTGCCTTCAGGAGAACACATCAGAGAGTTTCTGTTTCTCCTAGTTCTATAAGGACACAGAAGGAGGAAGGCTTTCTCCAGGAACCGAATCAGAGGATATCCTTGAACTTGGACTTCCCCACCTCCAGAGCTGTGAGAAGTCAATGTCTGTTGTTTAAGCCAACCCCGTGCATGGTCTTTTATGTTACAGCCCGAATGAAGACACAGCAGGTGTCTGCAGTTCTAACCCTCAGGTCCCGCTCAAATCTCACCTTCTCCAGGAAATCTTCCCTAGTTCTTCCAGGGAGAATTTCAATCTCTTCTCTACAACACCCTGGGCTTCCGCCACAGCACTTAGCACAGATCTTCCCGGAAATACTGACAGTTAGGAATTCATACTGACAGTTAGGAATTCATCTGCTCTCAGGGAATCTTCCCCAGCTCCGCCCTCTTCAGTCCACTTCACTCCCTGAGCCAAACCCATCTGAGGCAGGAAGTACTCGTGCTGTCCTGACAGGTCATTTGATTCGCCTCAGTGTGAACACAGCACGTTCACGTCAGGACAAGTTCCCGGTTATACAACTCCCTCTCTTCCCTTCCCTTTGGCCCAGCAATGTGCCCCGGTTCTTAAACCCTGCTTGTTGGGGCGCGTGGGTGGCTCAGTGGGTTAAAGCCTCTGCCTTCGGCTCAGGTCATGATCCCAGGGTCCTGGGATCGAGCCCCGCATCAGGCTCTCTGCTCAGCGGGGAGCCTGCTTCCCCCCTCTCTCTCTGCCTGCCTCTCTGCCTACTTGTGATCTGTCAAATAAATAAATAAATAAACATCTGATCGTTGCACTTGACTCTCTGAGACCAGTTCTGCGCCCCCCTCATTACTCCTCCTCCCCGAGAGCTGCCAGGAAAAAAACCAGAAAATGTATAATCTTTCAAAAGAAGTACATTCTGTGCAATATTTGGGAAACCCGAAAAACTATCTGCTATCAGTCTGAAAATTCAAATTTAACAGGATGTTCGGTATTTTTACTAGCTAAAGCTGGCAACTTTATTACTCTCGAATCTCATCACCAAGTTACCTGTGAAAGACGCCTGTGTCCCATTCTTACGTGGACACCTTCCTGAGACCTAGAAGCTCAGGGCCGCGGTCCAGACACCAGGGCCCTTCCTGTCACATTGCAATTGCTTATCTGGCTGGAGTGCCCAGGGTCATGCATTCTGCCCACTGTTATGGATATCTGCTGTCAACCCCACTCCGAGCTCATCCAGCTCTGTGGGCAGGTCTGGAGCCAGCCCGCCCTCTGGGCTGAATGATGATGGCCTGTCCCGTCTTGCTTCCAGAAAACCTTATGCCTCACTGGTAGCTGCCACTGGAGTGTCTACCTGTGTCCCACAAGACTGGGACTCCCCAAAGGGCAGGGGTTGTTACTCAAGGCAACCTACTCCCAGGATGCGTTACACGGTCTGTGCTTAAGAAATGGCTGTTAACCTAAAACTGAAGGACGATGTTACGGGTTGGATTAGGTGTGTGCCCCTCCCCCCCCAATTAGGTGTGTGCCCCTCCCCCACGTCCCCCAATGTCCAGATATACATTGAAGTCCTAACCCCAGTTCCTCAGAATGTGATGTGATTCGGAACTAAGGTTGCTGCAGGTGGAATTATTTACATTAAGATGAGGTCATACTGGAGTCGGGAGCGTCCTTAATCCAATAGGACTGATGTCCCTATAAGAAAGGAGACACAGCAAGGAGGACGCCATGTGAGGACAGACAGAGATTACAGTGACGCAGTGATTAGCCAATGAACACCTGGGGCCACCAGAAGCCTGGAGGAGGCAAAGCTTTCCGCCCCTACAGGCTCCAGAGGGAGCACGGCCCCCCGCGAATGACAGACTCAGACTTCCAAGCTTCCAGAACTGTGAGACAATGGGCTCCTGTCATCTGGCGGAACTTTGTTTCCTCAGCCCTAAAACGCGACCCCGGGACTACATTAGGGAGGAACTGACAAAACACAAAAATAGGAAGAATAAGGACCTAGAAGAGATCGAGGAATCCTTGGGAGTCCAACGGAAGGGGTGAGCACGAGACAATACTACATAGCTAACTTCTTTACATTCTGTCCCAACGTTTTCCCAAACAGAAATAAAACAAAACGTCCCTTTGAAAGTCCCAAGTGGTGTGATTAGAACTCCAGGAGTCCTGTGGGACAGAGGCTAGACAGGAGGAGAGGCCACGATCCCTGAGAAATCCCCCATCGCCTGCACAGAGATGGGCACAGGAGACCAAGCTCAAGGTAACAGAGGCAGGCCAGAAAGCCTCCCGCAGGAGGGCTGCCTTGGGAGGGGTGTCCCGGTGGGGATGGCTTTGTCAGGAGCTAGGGCTTTCCTTCTGTTTTCAGAATGTCAGTACTGTAATACATATTCTTTAAAAAATGAACACAATGTCAAACATTGTTCAGACTTCATTTCTCTGTTAATCATCCCCATGTTCCATGGTACTGTCACTGGCTTATGGGGAATAAGTGCCACCCGTTTTGGATCAAGTCAAGGTGACCTAATTCTGAGCCTCATCGGGCAAACAACTACCTTTGCATAGTTGTAGGGACGTGAATTCTCTTGTCCCTGTAACTACTGATTACATTTCAAATGAAAACTCCATGTGTAAGTTTTCAGAGAAGCAGGAACTGGGGATAACATCAGATATCAATCAAATCAAATCATATCCTAGGGGCGCCTGGGTGGCTCAGTGGGTTAAAGCCTCTGCCTTCAGCTCAGGTCATGATCACAGGGTCCTGGGATCGAGCCCCACATCAGGCTCTCTGCTCCGCAAGGAGCCTGCTTCCCCCTCTCTCTCTGCCTGCCTCTCTGCCTACTTGTGATCTCTGTCTGTCAAATAAATAAATAAAATCTTAAAAAAAAAAATCAAATCATATCCTAGATAATTAGTGCCATCCACTCTAATAACTGGAGCCCAGTCTGTGTTGAAGGACACCAAGATATATTCCCATTTATTTGCCCACAGAACTCCCAATGTAATGACGGAGGCTTCCAGCATTGCGCAATAAATAATCACAATGAGCGTTTACTGAGCATTTACCATGCACCAAGGACGAGGCTAAGATTTCACGTAGATTACTTAACATAATCTTCACATCACCCTTATGAGATAGTTACTACACTTCCCCACTTACAGATAATGAAGTAGAGGTTTACGGGGAGGTAATTTGCACAACTGTTAATAGAAGCGAGATTCAAAAGATACCAACGTGTTCATTGTAGACACTGTGCAATTCTAGAAGCCACAGAACTGGGGATGGTGTTGCCTGCCATGGATGGGCAACACGCTAGCAGTTGTGTATATCAGGGGTCATTTTGCCATAAAATTGCCTTTTTTTTTTTTTTTTCAAAGTTATGGACATTGGGAAGGAAATGCTATATATATTCCTCTCATTTTATAAAAGAAAAGACGTTTTAATACCCACAAATGAGGGAGGTAATTTACTCTCCTTAAAGGAAACTTTAAGTGAAATAAATTTAGTTTCACGCACAACTTGGGATACTATTCCTATTTTCCTCATTTTGCAAAGGACAGGTGAGAATGTGGTCACGCACTAGCATGAGTTCAAGAACTGGCAACGGGTGTGGGGGGAGGAGGTACTGCCCAAAGTTCTTGCTTAAGAACTTTGGGCAGTAAGAGCCAGAGCCAGAGGACACTCAGTCCTATCTGACTCCAAGGTCAGTGGCCCTTCTGTTGAGATGATCTGTCTTTGCCTCAGGCATTTCTTCTGCCATTCAAGAACTCTTTATTGAGCACCTACTAGGTGCAGGGCGCCAGATTCATGCCAAGGACACAAGGCATCACTTTCCTCCATTTCTCTCTCACCACCTCTCTTTCCTTTGGCTGGTCTGATTAATACCAAAAACTCACTCCCATTACAGCTCAGTTAACCATTGTCTTGTTATGACAACTTGACCTGGTCGCCGTTGAGGAAAACGATCCACATGGAAACACTACAACACAATGATACTCTAGGATCCCTTTTTCTAGTGTTAAGTATTGACTCTAGAGGCCTTTAGGATAGGAAGAAATTAAATGATTTTTATAACGTCACAAGACTTCCCAATCCAGAGCTCAGAGGAAAATAATCTCAATGAGGGGCGTCTGACTGGTTCAGTCAACACAGCATGCAATGCTTGATCCTGGGTTTGTGAGTTCGAGCCCCACACTGGGTGTAGAGATTATTTAAATAAAAAAATTTTTTTTCAAAAGATCTGAATGAACATCTTTCTAGTCACAAGGTCCTCTGATAAATGATCAGGTCACAGCCTATAGGCCTAAGCTCTGCCTTCCATCAGTAGCTACTATCATCACTTTAATAAAACCATGTTTCTAGAAACTGTTCTATTACAGTGAACCACCACAAGTAGAGCAGTCAAGCTATTTAAAAATACAAGCAAAAGTTAATTATGTAAAGTGACTATCAAGGCATTTTAAATTAACATTCATAGTCTTGAACAAATGAGAACATGCCAGTGAGTGCATTATATATAACTATGTTATGGCCTACATTTAAATATTTCTGATTCTGAGTTATTCCTCTATTTTTTTTTATTACATGGATAAAATGAGAAGTATCCGGGAAGTCCCAATTACTCCACTCATCTTTCGCGGAATATTTAAAAATGATTAAATGAGACTTACTGTGTATTCTGGTCCCAGATGTTCATTTGGACAGGAGAGAAAAGAAAAAAGAGACAAAATGATGATTTAGATCATGCTTATATGCAATATAAAACCACGGAACTAACAAATACTGGTGAATTATGTTATAAATATGCAAAGGAAATATTCCAAAAACTGAACTTTCATAAATATATGCTCTTGAAATCTTTTCAGCAGATACTTCTGTGGTTGGGCAGACAAGGACTGTAGATAAGATTCAATTAGCCTATAGGTTTGTGGGTAATTAAAAACCAAAGAGTTGGCATTATAAAGGCAAAATTAAAGACTAATAATTCCAGTGGAGCATTTCATTAACCACAAAGGAAATCTTTTAAGTGGGAAAGCAGCTTTTACAACCAGTAAGAAGAGCTTGTTATGATGACATTCAAGTGCAATCTTGAATTTTCATGTTTGAGGGCAAGAACAAAACCTTCTAGATTTGGGGGCCCAAGTTTCTAGATCAGTATCAACAAGGAGTTTATCACCATCCCATTACATGTGAGAGGGAAGGTGAACTAAAAATTATCAGATTATCCCACTGCAAAGGAAGGAGTTCGGGGCAGAGAGGCCTAATAAAACATTTTACATAAATTATAAGTCAAGGTTTGGGGGTGTAGGGGTGGGGCTCTTGTGGAGGAGGGGCTGTAAAATCAAAATAAACAACTTGTTTCACATTATCACTAAGAGGAGTTTCACCTTCCTTCTTTGTAAGCTATTTACCACAATCACTTTAAAAAGGAAGGTGGAATGGTTTATCTTAATTCCTACGTGCTAGGAAGAGCATTGACATAAAAGGATGAAGGAAAAGGGTGATGGGCAGATACAACAGGGCTCTCCCAAGTCCCTACTTGGATAATAAATCCTAAATCAGTGAAATTTGGCTACCACTAGGTCCTATCGCTACATGTGACACACAAGTTATAAAAAGGACTTACCTGTAATTGTGTAGGGATAATAGTTCCAAGCCTTTTCTGTAACATAAAAGATTTTGGGAACAACAGCTCTAGCCCAGCTAGGCAGTTTGCTAAGAGGAAAGAAAGAGAGAGAGAGAGAGAGAGAGGGGGGAAAAAAAAAAGACCATTAGAAAAAATTTGCCCAGAGCCTCATGGATCAACTGTTAAGAGAAAGCAGAGGTGCTCCTAGGTGCCTCTCTCTCCACAAGTCACCCCTTCCCGAAGCCCCTGGTCTTTGCCAGGGTTCACCATTCTCTGTGCATTTTTCATATGCTCATAAAATGTGGGAGGGCAGGTGACAATAGCCTGGGGTTGGGAGAGGGGGTTTCCATAGGACTGTTAGCTTTTCCTCTTTGATTTGATTTACAAGGACATGAGATTTCAGCGTGTGGCAGGTGCCCTGCTGGAAGGGTTTGGCCATCCTGGCCTTGGTCTCCTAGGAGTCATATGGCAGAAGTGGTAGGACGGGATGTTTAAGCCCCAATACAGAGGGGGACAGAGGCAAATGGTAGAACCAGGCATCTGCTTAACCATCCACAAGAGTGAGGTGTTAAAAATGAACTAAAGCGGAACTAGAGGGTATCATGCTTAGTAAAATAAGTCAGTTGGAGAAAGACAACTATCATACGATCTCCCTGATATGAGGGAGAGGAGATGCAACGTGGGGGGTTAAGGGGGTAGGAGAAGAGTAAATGAAACAAGATGGGATTGGGAGGGAGACAAACCATAAGTGACTCTTAATCTCATAAAACAAACTGAGGGTTGATGGGGGGAGGGAGGTTGGGGGGGTGGGGTTATGAACATTGGGGAGGGTATGTGCTATGGTGAATGCTGTGAAGTGTGTAAACCTGGCGATTCACAGACCTGTACCCCTGGGGATAAAAATATATGTTTATTAAAAAAAATAAATTAAAAAAAATGAACTAAAGCAACAGACAGTAAGAATTGTAGAGATGTGAAGAATAACAAAATTTAGCCCCTTGATGACTGTAGCCCGTTGACTTGTGTCCCCCCTCAAAGATCTATCCAAGTCCTACCCCTCCTGCTACCGCACCTGCGAATTTACCCTGATTTGAGCAGCAGGACTCGTGAGGGTGTCATTAGGGACCTAAAGGGGGAATCCCCTCGGGTTTAGGGTGTAGGCCCTCACTCCAGGGACTGGTGTCCTCCCAGGAGAGAAAAGAGGGAGATCTGGAGACAGGGACACACAGAGGTGGTGGGGGAAGCCACGTGAAGACAGAGGCAGACACTGCTAAGAACACCAAGGATGCCGCAGACTCCCCAAGCCCAGAGGGAGGGAGGGCAGGCACGGCCGGCTTCTCCCTCTGAGTCCCTGTAAGGAGCCAACACCACCAACACCTTGATTTCAGATTTCTGGTGTCCAGGGCTGAGAGAGGACACACCTGTGTGGTCTTAAGCCACTTCTCCACACTCTCCAATCCCACCCCACCCCCCATCCCGCCTTGGGAGCATTTGCTGGGGCGGCTAAGCAGGAACCTGGGCAGCCAGTGGGAGAAAACCTATTCCTTTTTTTTTTTTTTTTTTAAGATTTTATTTATTTATTTGTCAGAGAGAGAGAGAGCGCGAGCGAGCACAGGCAGACAGAGTGGCAGGCAGAGGCAGAGGGAGAAGCAGGCTCCCCACAGAACAAGGAGCCCGATGTGGGACTCGATCCCAGGACACTGGGATCATGACCTGAGCCGAAGGCAGCTGCTTAACCAACTGAGCCACCCAGGCGTCCCGAGAAAACCAATTCTTAAAGAAAACCCCCAGGGGTGCAGGTCTCGAGCCTTTTGTAAACCAAAGACTAATGAAATCTTGTTCTCTTTTGTTCTGTTTTCCTTCAGAGACAAACCCTACAGCGTAGTACAGGCCCAGAGAATTCCCTAACACGTTTAAATACATAGGATCATAGATTCTTTAAATATGCCTGTATGATTTTACGTCCCCCCAGCGCTATGCCTGGGGCGGGTTGTGTCTTTCTGGAGGCTACTAAGGTACTTCTTTCCTCTTCTAGTGCCTACAGCAGACTCTGGGCCTCCGAGGCCTAGCAGCGCTCCAGGCCCTCCGATGACGACACAGGCTCGGCTCCCGGAGGCGGCCGGCCCACAATGAATCACATCACAGAGCACTTCTGAGTTCCCAGCCGAAAGCACTAGGAACCGGGGACATCGCGCTACTAGAACCCCAAATTCCCCAACCCCTCTCGCACAGGGAACTTCAATGAGAACCAGAGCCAGAAAAATACTGTGTATCTTGTACGTCTTCTCGGATTATTTCTATTACTTCTGACAGTGTCCAGGACCTGCTTTTAAAAAGACAAATCTGTGCTTCCAACGGCTGGCCGGACCTAACCCAAAGCTCTGGGCCGTTTAACAGGGTTAAATCAAATGGGGACTCGAAGCTCCCGGGAAGCAGGGTGAGTGTCAGACGAGGCACGGCTCTTGGGCGGGCTGGGCGGCTGGAGCAGGGAGCAGGTTCATGACCTACAGAACAATCCTCGTGGCCCTAAGGCAGACCGTCTCACCCCTAGAAAATCACCGGGGGGGCGGGAACTGCTCATTTACCTGGTGCTCCCATGGCTCGAAAGGAAGGGGCTGCTTCCTGAAAGGGGTTTTTATCGCTTTTACCTTTGATTTATTCTTCCGGTCGCTGGAGCTGGACAGCAACCAGGGTTGACATCTGGAGGGGGAAGATCGCGTTGGGCTTGCTTGCGGGAAACGGGCATGAGAGCATCTTCTCCTGGGCTCCCTCCTTTTTGCCCCCCAGCCCAGGGCGATGTTGGGCAGTGGGAAGTGTAGGAAGACGTGGCTTCTGCTCACAGGCAAGTGGGCCCCTTGTTCTGTTACTGGACTGAACCAGAATTGCAGCATCTCCCCCCAAAGAAAGCTCGGCATCCCTTAGCTTAGACTAAGTGTGATGTCTCCCTACAGGCATCAGGATCCATCCCCCACGGTCCACACTGGGGGACAGGTTCCACCTCCACTGCATCCCTCCGCAGATGTAGTAGGCTCCTTCTGCACAGAGCTCTGGGGGCCCAGGCCCCCTCCCGCAAGAAATCACTCCCTCTATCACTTAAAAAGCCTCCCAGCAGAACCACATTCCTAGGCAACAAGCATTTTCTGGAAGGAGGATGAGAAACAGTGGGAATTTTCCATTCATGTTGAGACTTTATTCCTGCTTGTCCGCGGTCAGGACCCCCATCTCCAGAATCTTCTGCGTGGCTCATCCCCCAAGTCCTTGCAGGATATGCAGCCCCACAATCAATTACCTTTTCCAAAGAGACGCCCTAAAAAACCCACACCATTCAGTCAAGATGGCTGAGAACCATTTTATGTGACTCTTCTGGGGGTGTCCGGAAAGGGGACCCTCCCAGGATAAGCCATCCACCAGGCCAGGAACAGGAGGCGTCGGCAACAAGTTCCAGGACACGATTTAAGCCCAAGAACAGACTTTCTCTCAGGCCCCACTCTGCCCAGAGCACACCATTATTCAAATCGTTTTTGTCTGAGGAAGTAAAATTTATTTTTCCCTGTGGCAATGATTTATCAGGGCTGCAAAGGAAAATGGAATTAAATGAGTCCCCGCTGTTGCTGTCACTTTCATGATGTATATTGTCACACAGCCTACAGTTCTGAGGAGAAGTCTGTCACTCAAACTCACTACCAGGTGTCACACAAGAGTCTCTCTTCCAGAATGGCGGCACAGTTTGAATCACGTCCTCTCGGTCCACTGCCCGGGACCAGACCTCCCGATGGCCTTCGTCACCGCCGCTCAGGCTTTACAGACACCGAGGAAAAAGGCGGACAGAACTCCGAAGGCTACAGAATTGGAAAACGTGCTGTTGTGGAATGATACTGTTTCCCAAAAGCTTTTGTCAATACCCCCGGAGACAGATGTTTCAAAATATCAGGTTTTTCCCTTTGAAACGTCAGTACGATAGAGAACACGTCAATGACACAGCCGGGTGGCCACCTCATCCCCGTCTCCGTGAGACTGTCCTACCTGCAGCACTGAAAGTCCCTCCATGTTAAAGAAATTCCTCAGTCCTGGGCAAACCCGGATGCTGGTCAACCTAGAGCAGTGGTTCTCAATGGGGCAGAGGCCGAGTTCTGCCGCCCCCTTCCCCCAGGAGAGGACATGGGGCCAACCAAGTCTGGAAATACTTTTGTTTGTCACACTATGAGGTCGTGGAAGGGGGGCAGGGACACTGCTGGCATCCATCGGGTAGAGGCTGTTCAAGATCCTACAATGCTCAGGAAAGCCCCCCGCAGCAAAGAATTATCTGGTTCCAAATACTAACAGTGCCAAGATTGGGAAACCCGGCCCTGGACGTAAGTGGATATAGTCACGGCAACCTCCTTACGTGTCCCGTAGGCCTCCCTCAATTACAACCGGTAAGGAGGCCCCATCAGGCAGAATCTGAACTGGTCTCAGGTTAAGAGTGTTTATGGACTCCCTAAAGAGCGTCCAGAACGGAAACCTAAACCGTCCCTCCATTAGAAGCTTCTGGCACTTTACTATCCAGATTATCGCCAGATTCGCCCTGATATCTAATCTCTCGCCGCAATTTATGCTCATTTGGGAATATTTTTTGGCCCTGGGAAGTACTGAACATCATTAGGCCAAATGTGGTCTAAATGGAGTCTAATTTCATTTTCTCAACAGGGATCAGAATTATGATGGTCTCCACGAGCATCTTGATCTTAGCTGTTCTATCTGCCAACTCATGCAGGATATGCAGCACTATAATCAATTATCTTTTGGACTTAAAACATTCCCAGCAGAAAGACAGCCCCTCCGAGCCCCCGTCACTCGGGCTTTTCTCCTCCGCGGGGTCCCTGAAAGCTGCCGCCGTCTGTGCTGTGATTTTGCTCAAATACCGTCAGTCCACTTAACGTGACTTTTAAAAAAGGACTAAGCTACCTCTTAGTAGACCTCATTTTCCACGGGTCCATGGGGGATATTCTGACCTTTGGTTTCACACCTGGCATTTGACGATTATTTGGTAATAATCAATTGTATCTACCCAGTGACCTGTGAGGTTTTTACTTTTCTTCTCTAGTGGCTG